CACCAAAAAGTGCAACTTTGGTATATCGCACCAGATATGACAATGATAAAGTTGTGAAGAATTCATCAAATGATCAATTAGCTGATGTCGATTAGATTTAAAACCATTAATAGGCTGTCGTGCTCCAATAATATGATAAAGCTATGTTTTTCTGATGATTAATAATGATTTTGCTGGCCTTCGGTGGTGTCCTAGTCTGATTTTAAAGAGGTTTTGACCATTTAGGGCTGCACAATATGTAATTTAAGCATCGATATCATGATGTGATCATTAGCAACAGTCACATGGCATGTATGCAATGTTGAGTCTGGATCATAACTCATTTTGCAAGTGTTTTTTGAGGCCTGTGACTATGTGAGGGTGACTATGTGAGGCCTATGAAATTGCACTGTTTTTAACTTTGACAAATGAATAACGATACATTTTATTGATTGTTTATAAAAACGAAGACTATTTGGTATTATTTTACATTTGATTTTTCAATAACTGTGCTTCTGAATACAGTTTGAAGCCTGAGAAAGCAATAAAATGCTGTTTATTCATTTTGTATCTTTTTCTTTATTGAACTTATCGACCCTTGCAGATTGTTTATTATATTTTATGCACTCCTTCTACACAGAATAATCCCAAACGATCTATTCATTCATTCATTCATTCATTCATTTTTTTTTCAGCTTAGTCTCTTTATTAATCTGGGGTCGCCACAGCGGAATCAAGCGCCAACTATCGATCTAAAATTATAAATTCTTTTCAAATGATTATTCAACTCATCTAGTGAAAGTGTTCATATTGCAATATATATTGCAGAATAAAAAGATATCCCAATATTAGATTGTTTCAGTATCATGCAGCCCTACGCTGTAAAAAAATCCGGTATTTTATGGGTTTTTTTTTTGGCAGCTAGGGTGTCAGAAAAAAAAAAAGTTAAATAACGGCCATTAAATCACAGACATTTACTGTAAAATAACAGACTTTAAATTACAGAAATTTCCTAAAATTTATATTTCCAGTAAATTTCTGTAATTTACCTTCTGTTATTTTACTGTAAATGTCTGTAATTTACGACCGTTATTTTACGTTTTTTTTTTTTTGTAAAGTAATCGATTTTTTTTACAGTGTAGCTACAGCCAAACCACTATCTTAAATCAGATTTATACTATGTAATCCAGTTCGACCAGTGTTAATTTACAGGATGTGTTATGACAGTATTTGTCTATGTAATTAGATAGTGTACTTTATTAATGGTTGCAGGTTTCCAACATACTTTAATATACTTTATTTGTGTTCAACAGCAGAAAGAAATAGGTTTTGAGGAAGTTCTGGGTGAGTAAATGATGACAGAATAGTCATTTTTCATACCTTATCATTTACTCTCCCTCATGTGGTTTTAAATCTTCATGAGTGTTTTCTTATGTTAAACACAAAAGAAGATGTTTTGAAGAATGCTGGTTGCTGGCATCCATTCCATCCATCTAATGCACTACCTGCATTTTTTCAATATCCCCTATCTTCTTTTGTATTCAAAAGAAATTCTAATAGTTTTTGATCAAGTGAAGGCTGAGTAAATGATGACAGAATTTAAATTTTTGAGTGAACTATCTCTTTAGGATGGTCCAGTCAAATCAACTAAACCAGCTAAAACTTGTCCAGGATAGGATACTATTTCAAACTGGGTTAATATTCATCATAGGCCGAATAAGAATAATAACAACTCTCCTTAATAAGAGTTGTTTGGCGAAAATTGTGAACATACACTCTCAGAAATAAAGATACACGAGCTGTCACTGGGGTTAGGGTTACCCAACCTTTACAAAAGTTGCAAATCTGTACCTAAAAGGGTTAAATTAATAACTTTAGGGTACATATTAGTATCTTAAAAGTACAAAAGTGTTCCTGTTAAAATTTATGGTACTAATATATACATTTGACGTACCAATATGGACGCTTTGAAATGTGTACCTTTTAAAAAGGTACAGTACCACCCCAGTGACAGCTCATGTACCTTTATTTCTGAGAGTGTAGGAGGAAAAATAACAGGGATAAAACAGATAACTATGGCTCAGTTATACCATACAGGCAAGCTTTGAGTAAAGCTCAGAGTATTCTGTCAGATGATTCCCATCCTATGCCCCATGAGTTTTATTTTCTCCCTTCTGGTATTCAATATAGAACTCCTATTTGTAAAATAAATAGGTTTAAAACTTTCATTTATCCCCTCAGCTGTAAAGTTTTTAAATTTAGGGTAGATTTGTATTGAACAATGTGTTTTTGTGTATTATGTGTGACGTGCTTGTATGCTGCAACTAAATTGCCTTCGGGAAATTAAAAAAGACTAACTAGAATAAGTAAAGGAGGTGCTTAAGGAGCACTTTCGACAAGAAACTACAGTATTTGTACTGAAGTAAAAAAACATTGTCTCATCTTTCATTAGGTGCAGTATGCTGTGTTCAAATATTCATCCAATTCAAATACACACTTTCACCAACAAATCATTGCTTGCGATGCAAACTAAAACCTCTTACTTAATTAAACGAAAAATAACCAAACACTTTAACATGTCCGCCCAAACTTCCTATTTCAACAAGAAGTACGTTGATGCAACAGAAAGGAGAGGTCTTTAAAGGTCTTGTAACCTCAGGATGGCGCTCTGCGTGCGTGTTTATATGTGTGTGTGGTTTTGTATGACAACCTCACTAATCAAACAGCGGTTGGTTTGCGGAGGCGTCTCGCTGCACGGGCGCAGACGGGGCTGTCCTACACATGTACGTGCCACATTCTCTTATTCTTCTAAAAGTCACATGACCACACCTCATCATCCAGCTAACCGAATAGGAAAAAAGCTGGCACTTTTATGAGCCATGCTACTGAACTGATCCACAAGTGGCCATTCATGGCAAACCTGATTTCACCAAGTGCAACATGCTCCAGGATCTATGTTGATCTTGGAACAGTATTCCAATCGACCAATCGAATTATGGGATAGGTGTATAGTTTATGTTAAGATTTGCGGGATATGTGCTTTTACATCAATGTTATTAAAGGAATAGTTCACTCTAAAATATAACGTTTGTTATTTGTACAAACTACTTATTTAAAATGAGCTAAAACAGCAGAATTTTTTTTTTTGGAGGGAACAACTTATTTGTTTCATGTTAAATCCACATACATTTGCCAAAAAAAGCATTAAGTTAACTTAATTTCTTCATGTTATCCAAACACAGATTGATTGCATTTTTTACATTGTTGACCAAAAACTGAAAGTTCTCCTGTTGTTTACTCACCCTTCACTAGTTCCAAGTTTCTTTATTCTGTTGAAGACAAAGGAAGATATTTCGAAGAATGCTGACAACCTGTAACCATTGGCTTCCATAGTATTTGTTTTTCCAACACTCTCAGAAATAAAGGCACAGGAGCTGTCACTGGGGTAGTACCTTTTCAAATCTGTACCAGAAGGGTTTATAATGGTACCTTAAAGGTACTTTTCAGGTACATCCAGGTACTAATATGCCCTTTAGAGGTACCAATATGGATTATTTGGGTACAAATATGTACCTTTTGAAAAGGTACTGCCCCAGTGACAGCTCCTGTACCTTTATTACTGTGAGTGTAGTATGGAAGTCAGTAGTTACATGTTTACTTTCGTCTTCAACAGAATAAAGAAACAGTTAAAAAGGTTTGGAACCACTTGAGGGGGAGTAAATAATGAGTAAATGTTCATTTTTGGGTAAACTATCTCTTTAATCTATTATTCTATCTGATTTTAGCAATATTTTACAGTCAGGGTTAGGTTTAGGTCAGAGGTGCCCAAAGTAGGGCCCGCGAGCCAAAGTTGGCCCATGGTAACCTTTGGTTTGGCCCGGCATGCCATCTGAAAAGAGAAAGAAAATGATGGGGAGTTGGTTGGGGGCGAATGCCTTAACAGAGACGCCATTTCGAATTGAATGTAACCTTTTGTTACTTTGTTTAATTGAGGAGCTAAAAAGGCAACTAGAATTAAATGTTGTAAATAAATCAGACTTTTAAAATGTAAATACTGTCACTTGACAGATGCAAAAGACATCAAGGCAAAGGCAGGAGCAGCTCGACTTTTGTGTATTCAGCATTTAGCTTTATTGTATTACAAATAGCATTGTTCATGTTTTTACTATAATAAGTTCATTTAAAAAAACGCTAAAAATGATACTGCATCATTTATTAAGATGTTTTAAAGCAACGTTTTCTAGTTATTTTTGAATATTAGCATCAATACTAATATTAAATTAGGATACTACCCATGGTAAATTTAAAGTAATACCTGAATTATTAGTATCTTTAACCCACAGCCCTCTATCAAGTTTGGTTTGTTTGTCATTTATAAGAAAAAGTTTGGACACCCCTGGTTTAGGGGTATGGATTGGGTTTGGATTACATTTTCGAACAGGAATGATGTTCCAGGATCAACAAGAAGTATGCTGACCCAGTAACACGTCTAACTCAAGACAAGCCTCATTGATTCACACATTCATTCACCATTGGATTTAGGCAGAACAGGAAGAGATGAATCTTAAAGCGTGGACCGTCGTGTGGTCAGCGAGTTCTCGAGTGTGTTTGTTTAGAGAGAACTCACCATCATCCCGTGCCAAGATCCCTCTGCAGCAGTTTGACTTTGAAAGCCCTGTTCATTGACGTCAAAGCTGGAATTTCGGAAGGAGAAATGCTTCGCGGCCAAAGCAACAACAACAATAACACGGCCATCATCAAGCCATTCCACACGACAGGACAAACGTATGTAAAGCCAGTTGGTCTTGGCTTGGGATCACACGCCCTCACGCATCCGCCAATATACCTGACCATTTCGAGCTGAAGAATTTATCTAATAACTCCAATTTAATCCTAGCCTCGCAGTCTAAATACAGGAAATCTTAAATTGCTCCATGACAATCAGGAAATCATGACATGCTCCTTTGCAACTTTAAACACAAGTCTCACAAACAGCATGCATCTCCAGCACACACACTGACCTTTGCAGGTTTTGCCATCGGGTTGAAGGGTGAAGCCCACGGGACAACTGCAGCGGACACCAGTCGCCGTGTCCTTGCAAGTGCGATCGCAGCCGCCGTTGTTCACCGCACAGGTCTCTGGGTAAACAAACAGAAGAGATGGACAGACAGAGGAAGTAAGGGAGCATAAACAAAATCACAAAATCCGATTTTTAAAAGTGACTTGACACAGTTAACTAAGAACTACAGTAAGTGAGGATGTGCAGTTTGGTTGGGCTTGATTGCAACTATTTGGAGAAAGGTGCATGTAAATAATGAATCCCAATGGGTGCAGGAATCACAAAAATAATACAGAACTTGAACTTAGAAGATGACAAGGTTCATGACAGACACAAAACACACACATCGCATGAAAAAAGCTGGATTTTGAGTTTGATAACACCATATTTCATTCCTAAAGCCAAAAATGGCTTTTCTGGCAATCAAATCATGGGAGAAATAAGGCAAAAAAGACAAGAACTGCTTTTTTACCTGAAGAAAAAGTTAGAAAGTAAATCAGAAAATGGACAGTGTTTCTGAATGTGAAAAGCAGAGGGTGAGCCGGTTAGTTTCGTCTCATGAAAGACTGTGGAGAAAGGTCAAAACAGAGTGCTGTGGATGCAAGAATATCAACTTCCCTAAAATGGAAGTCAATGGTTACAGTTTTTCAGCTTTCTTTAAAATATCTTTTTTGTCTCCAACAGAATATAGAAACTTAAAAAGATTTGGAACCACTAAAGGGGAGTAAATAGTGAGTACATTTTCATTTTGGGGTAAACTTTCTCTTTAACTTAATAGTTTATCTGATTTTAGCAATAATTTACTGTCAGTGTTAGGGGTATAGATTAGGTTTGGAATACATTTTTGAACAGGAATTATGTTCCAGGATCAACAAGAAGTATGCTGACCCAGTAACAGGCCTAACTCAAGACAAGGCCCGCTAATTCACAGAAAGGTTAAAAAAAAAAGACAAGAACTGTTTTTTTTTTTTTTTTTTTTTTTTTTTCCCTGAGGATAAAGTAATAGAAAGGATATCAGAAAATGGACAGTTTTCCTGAAGGTGAAAAGCAGAGGGTGAGCCGGTTAGTCTCGTCTCATGAAAAAGTCAAAACAGAGTGCTGTGGAGGCAAGAATATCAACTTCCCTACAATGGAAGTCAATGGTTACAGTTTTTCAGCTTTCTTCAAAATGTCTGCTTCTGTCTTCAACAGAATAAAAACACCTAAAAAGGTTTGGAACCACTTTTAGGGGAGTAAATAGTGAGTAAGTTTTCATTTTTGTGTAAACTATCACTTTAATCTATCTAATTTTAGCAATAATTTACTGTTAGGGTTAGATTTAGGGGTATGGATTAGGTTTGGATTACATTTTTGAATAGGAATGATGTTCCAGGATAAACAAAAAGTATGCTGACACAGTAACACGTCTAACTCTGCAAAATCAAGACGAGGCCCACTGATTCACAGAAAGGTGAAAAACCAGAAACAACAAGAACTGCTTTCTTTTTACCTGAGGATAAAGTAATAGACAGGATATCAGAAAATGGACAGCACAGAGTGCTGTGGAGGCAAGAATATCAACTTGTTTTGTTAGTTCACTCAGAAATGATTAAAGTTTACTCTCCCTCAAATAGATCCAAACCTTTACAAGTTTCTGTTTCCAGTTGAACACAAATGAAGGTAATCTTAAAGAACATTGGACACAGGTAAACATTAGTATCCAGGAAACAAATATGATGGATACTGGTTTCTAACATCCTTCAAAACATCTTTTGTGTTTAACAATAGAAAGAAACTCCAACAGGTTTGGAGGTTAAATAAATAAGCTCTTTGGTTTAAGCTTTTAAACACTTAGATGAGAGTTACCCTTCACTCTCAGAAATAAAGGTACAAAATCTGTTCCTGGGGTCAAAAGGGACTTTTTTGTGCCTAACAGGTCCTTAAAGGTACATATTAATACCTAATTCAAGAGTTCACACTCGGCTGATGATTGATTATAAAGCTTGTTTAGCATGCTGTCCCGGGAGAGAGCCCTGAGCTCATAAGATCCTCGAGGCTAAGGCTCCCTCCCGTTTGCAAGGCGAGAGTGAAGTTTAAGCTCAGGTAGATCTCGAGAACTCTCCTGCTGTAGTAGCTATACAGATAGTGATTGCTTTTAAGAGATGACTACTTACTAGGAGCATGTCTATGGTGCCGATTTGGATTCGTCAATTAACTTAAATTGCATGTTTTTGGACAGTGGGAGGAAACCGGGGGACCATGGGGAACCCATGTGAACACGGGGAGAATGTTAAACTCCACACAGAAACGTCGACTGGCTTGGTAAGGACTGAAATCAGTGACCTTCTTGCTATGAGGTAACAGTGCTAACCACTGGGCCACCGTGCCACCCATCTAGGAAAGGAGGAGGAGTAGGGGTGGAAGGGGGGATTCTTCAAAATGAAGATGGCTGCTATTTGGAACTTAAGATATTTATAGTGGCTTAGGAATAGTCTGACTGGTGAATCATAAAGTGGGACCAGTCGCAAGCAATTATAAGCATGTGATCCTCTCGAAATTAGTTTATAAATACACTCCGCAAAGAACAAATGTGCTCCTCATAGTATCTTAATGATACAAAAGTGAATCTTAAAGGTACAAAAGTCTACCTTAAAGGTAATGTGCAGCTCTAAAGTGCAAAAGTGCACCTTTTAAAAAGGTACCGCCCTAGCAACAGCTTTTGTACCTTTATTTTTAAGAGTGTTACATGTGATGTCATCACACATTCATTGCATCCATGCTTCAAATATATTGCTAGTTTTATGCAAAAAAAAAAGGCCACAATTATCAGTAGCTCTGCCTGCTCCAACATCTCATTGGTCCAAGTTCTCTTTCCACATCCATATATGAAACATCAGATATGCTTTACTGAACCGGATTAAATGCAGGTGTTAGCACATTGCTTAAGATGAACTATTAGTCAATTTGAGAACTGTGTTGGGAACTTCTGTTGTTGTTGATCACACAGTCCAGGACACATAATAAGACACAAAAGACTAACAGCGTAGATACAGTGTCATCCTCAACAGGACATTTGTTTTTCTTCTGTGGGATGGGGAGTGAATGAAGCCGCTTTCTGCTAATGATTTATTAAGCATGTCAAAGACCCTGTTATTAGAGTCTAATGCTATGGGCTATTCAACTGCTCCAAGAACAGCTGGACTGTATTTTGCCCAGGGACATGTACATGGGACTTGCGAGCACACAAACAGTGTTTGATTAAGCTGCGAATGATTCCACTGAAGTTCTCAAAAAGGAGCACGGTCAACTCTCTAGATTGATAGATTTGTTTATATAGAGCTCTCCATAACAGAAGATATAGATTCCCTCGTCGTGTTCATGCTCTTCAGCTCCTGTTGGCATATGGCCAGATTAAACTAGAAGCCCAGAGTTATTCTGACTGTGGAAAAGCAACTCTTCTTTAGGGGGTGGAGGAAACTGTAGGCCAGGGCTCCCCCGGTCTTGAAGGGCCGCTGTCCTGCATAGTTCAGCTCCAACTTGCTTCAACACACCTGACTGGAAGTTTCTAGTATACCTAGAAAGAGCTTGATTAGCCGGTTCAGGTGTGTTTAATTGGGGTTGGAACTAAAATATGTAGGACACTGGCCCTCCAGGGCCGAGATAGGGCACCCCTGGTATACTGTAGACCTTCCACACAATTGGTGCCTACAACAACTTTCACCAGCAGCTAGCTCTCTGCAACTCTTACATGGTCGCCCACTGAAGCTACTTGGTCAGTACCTGGATGGGAGACCACATGAGAAAGCTACATTGCTGCCGGAAGTGGTGTTAATGAGGCGAGCAGGGGGTGCTCAACCTGCTGTGTGGGTCCTAACATCCCAGTATAGTGAAAGGGACTCTATACTGCTCAGTGAGTGCTGTCTCTTAGAGGAGACGTTAAACTGAGATCCTGACTCTCTGTGGTCGTTAAAAATCACAGGATGTCCTTCGAAAAGAGAAGGGGTTTAACCCTGGCATCCTGGCCAAATTTGCCCACTGGCCTCTGTCCATCCTAACCATCACCATATTATAATTGGTTTCATCAATCTGTCTTCTCTCTGGCGCAAAATGGCTTCCGTCACATCATCCAGGTGGTGTATGAGGAGACCACCCCAATGTGTAAAGCGCTTTAGTGTCCAGAAAAGGGCTATATAAATGTAAGGAATTATTAATAAATATCATACAAGGTGGTAAATCCCGGCTGTACATGTTTTATTTGAATCAATGCATCAGAAATCAGCCCTTTCCCACAAGGCAGTTTATTTACGTAGATCAAATCCCTTCAGTTCCCTCCTGCTGAAAAGTGAGCGCATTTTAAAAACACCCCAGTGTTTTGATTTCTCTTCTCCTCCTCTCCAATCCCTGGGTTTCGCATCATGCCTGGGCACAATGGCAGCTTTCTTTCTGACACCGACTGTACAGTTTAATTTGTCTGGATCGGTCACATCCTGGTGCTGTTGGCCCCAGCTGTGACAGGAGGGCAGGGTGAAGCGGGAACACCGAGTGTCAAATCTAGCATTCTCCTGTGGCTCCTGTGCGATGGAGCACACACACACTTGCACAGACACTCACATGCAAAGCCAAGCTACTCCTGTGAATCTGTCATAACGGGCCCATTTGCGTGTTATGAAACTTGGAATATGATCTGAGATGGATGAACTAATGAGATCAGTGAGTATAAGATGGGGATGACATCACATGTGACTTGTTGACAATACCACTCCAAATGGTCATATCTATCTATCTATCTATCTATCTATCTATCTATCTATCTATCTATCTATCTATCTATCTATCTATCTATCTATCTATCTATCTATCTATCTATCTATCTATCTATCTATCTATCTATCTATCTATCTATCTATTACATAAATCATTAGAAGTGATGATTAAGTAAATTATTTCCAAATATGTATATACATGTATGTATGCATGTATATACATAAAACATATTTAGATTTAATATACATATTAGTATTTGTAATATATAGATTATATACAGTTTAAAAATACAGGAAAATAATTTAATTCAGTTCAAGGGGGACAGAAAACTGAAACTGAAATGAGAGAGAAACAAAGGAGTGTTTTCCTTTGGTCTTTCTTCGATGCAGCGACTAAAGGGAGGAGAAAATATTATCATAAACCAAAGACACGATTTCAGAGATGATCAGAGAAAGATGATGAAGGGTAAGAGTCAGAAATATCTGCATCGTCGGGTTCCTGGGTGGACCTAAAAGTTTCAAAAGCAATCAGTAGTGAGAGTCGTGTGAAATCTGAACTGAACATAATTTGGCAGAATATTCTTTTAACTCATTGAGAATAAAAGTCAAATTGGTATGTTTAAAATAAAGCTGGCTTAAGATTTTATACTAAGCATAACTTATTTTTATGTTATAATAATCATTTCCCACACATATCACCAATATAAACGTTTAATCTTTAGCCACAACCAAAAAACGTTATAATTTCCATTTAGTCCACGACCTCATAGGTCAAAAAAAGGTGTCTAGTCTTTCCTCCCAAATACTTTACAAACAGTTTCTCTGCCATACAAAGGCAGATCTGTTGTCTGCCTGACAACATCTTGGCCTATGTTCATGAATTCAAGGACAAATGGCTAAATGGCTGATATATTTCAAGGTTCGAGTCTGTGTGAACTATCTTCTGTCTCTGAGGAGAGAGTAGCAGATGGACTGGAAACTAAAACAGTTATGCACCCTGAAATGATCATTCCTCCATTATAGACGCATTAAAGTCAACATAATATCAAAATTGACCCTATTTACTTTCATAATACGAGTTCCTTAATGTGACCGATTCATCACTGCACACTATTATCAGAAGGAAACTATAACACCTGATAGAATAGCTAGACTTTCTTCTTAGTCAATAATATACATTACACAGGCAAAGACGTTTTGGGTAACACTTTATTTTGATGGTCCATTTGAGTATTAGTAGACTATCTGCTTAATATCTGTTGATTCTGCTCCCTTAACAGACCTTTAACTGACTATAAGAAACTTTGCAAGTACATGTCAACTTACAGTAACACACAACCTAACTGTCTACTTATAGTCTAATGAGAATTAGTTGGCATGTAGATGCAATGCATCTTAAATTCAACAAACGAACCATCAAAATAAAGTGTGGCCACGTTTTCAATTGACAGCCAATAATAATCATAAAATCAGACCCTACATTTTTGGTCCCTACTGAATCTTCTTTAATTAGACTACAAAAGTAAAGCAGGTTTGGTGTTTCATGTTGACTTGAAAACACACGGAGAATAGAAATAGTTTAGTTTATGGAGCACAGATGACAGAGGGTAACTGTGGGCAGATGATTAACGCCAATGTTTAATCTTTAACAACATATACTATTAATAGAGCGTAAAAAATGATGTCAGGCGTCTTCCGCTGCGGTTCACCACAAGCCACAGCGTCCTATGATGTGGAATGTTCTGGACCGACCCTCTTGTCATTCTTCCTCCATAAAAAATGATCTCGCCATTATTTGTTCAGCCCACAAATGTTCCTCCAGTTCAACTAATCACTGCCTAAATAGTATCCGATTGCAAAGTCATACAGTGAAGCGCTCAACTGGAAAAGCGAGAATTGGTTTGCTATCCAGTGTAGAGCAATCCAGTGTCATTTTGGTTGCCTTCTTTGGAAATGGGAGTAAATAGAAGCGATCAGTTGTTAGTTTTTTTGTCAACAACAAAAAAGGCGGCGGATTTGAAGACAGTTTGAGAGTGCAAAAAGGAACCTTGTCATGTTTGAAGGGACAAATCTTTAATTCAGAATATAGGGGAAGGCCAAAGGCAAGGAAAGCAACTCAAACAAACTAAAGGACAGAAAGAAACGAGGGGGGTAGAAGCACAAGCGCCATAGCAACACATAGAAAGAGGAAGAAAAGAGTTACCCATAAGTAGACGACGTTTCACCCGCTTGTCCACATCAGCTACTGACGTGGTATTGAATTCAGAGCTCTCAATTGCAGCCTCATCTTTCTCTAAAACACAAGTGACAGGGGACAAACAGGGAGGAGTAGGTTAATGAGAAGCCCAATGTCCATCGCCCCGCACAGACAGCCCCGCTACAGGCCGACCCGCCTCTGGCGACACGTGGACGCCAGGACACGGGCTGCCTGACCACCTTGGCGTTTGAGCCCAAACCAAAGCCAAGAGGCGTAAAGCCATGAAGAAGCGCAAATAAACCCTGTTAGAGTGTTAATCACATGAACAAATAGATAAATAAAAAGAAAATCAAGATGTCCCGAAATAGTAGAGAAGCGAACATGGGGTGTGTGGGAGGAGCTTAACAAAAAGTGAAAGGGGCTAAAGACGCTGTTTCCCGTTGTAGTTCGTCTTCCATATCAAACGGCCACTTGTTTACCTCAGTAAAAGAGCAGTGGAGGAGACACAGAGAAAGAGAGAGAGGAAAGGCAAGGATGGATACAAGTATATAGACAAACCGCATGGTCATGTGATGATGACAAAACAGGACACAAAAAAAGACACAGAGTAAGAGCTGAAAGGATGACAATGAGGTCTCATGGTGGGATCCACGAGAGGAAGGTGGGACATGCCGAGAGGTGGATGAATGACAGGGTCTGGGGCAGCGCTGGTTGCCTGTTTGTCTATGGAACACATTACAACTGGCTTTGAATGAGTCAATGCAGAAAACCACGTTCTGAGTGTTGGGAGTTGGTCAGGAGTGTGTTGTGAGGACGGTTGATGGTTTCTATGCATGCAGATATTAAGGACTGGTGTTAAGGTGAAAGGGGGTGGGGTTCTGGGCAGTAGGTAGCCAATCCTCAATGGGCGCAGGCAAGTAGGGCCAATCAGGATGTGGATGACTCTCTTAAAGAAAGAGTTTGAATATACATAACAGTTCTGTCATCTTTCAACCACATATCATTCCAAACCAATTAAGTTTCTTTAAAGTTCAGGCTTTTCTGAAAAGGGACAGAAGCTGACAAGCTCCAACTGTGACAAAATTGCACTATTTTGAAGACATACAGTATAACTTAATAAAGAATATGCCATGCCATTATTTTCTGCAAATCTATTAAATCTATATATCTAAAGATTGATTTTCTTCGGCATACAACTATATAACGCATCAAGAAGCATCCCTCTAGTTTTGACATGACCAACATGCATTATTGTGCATATTTCAGTGTACATGATCAATAATTTGTATCCCCTGTAAAACCCAACAGTCAACTTCATCAAATGAAATGAGTGTAGTTAACTCAAAACTGACTGAAAGTTAATTCTACTCATTTGAAAAGAGTTTTGAACTTAATTAAATACCTCATTACTTTAACTTGAATGGAGTAAGTTCACAGTACTCATATAAAATAGTTTTTTAACTCAAATGGTTTGTTGCAATCGGTTTCCTCAATCAGTTTGAGTTGCCTTAACTTATTGGGTTTTACAGTACTCAGTTGGTTTGAGTTCTCTTCATTTATTGGGTTTTACTGTGCTCAAATTGCTTCGTTTACTCAAATGGATTAAGTTCACAGCACTCATTAGGATTGGTTTTTGACCTTAAATGGTTTGTTACAATTGGTTTGCTCAAATTGCTTGAGTTACCTTAACTTTTTGGGCTTAACAAAGATTTTCTCTATTTTGATGAGTCATCTCATTTGCATACATTTAAATAAGTCAAAGATGTTAAAAGTGTTATTTTTAAATGCACAAGGTCAACATTGATTCATTTTATGGTGCTTTTCTGTCATCTTGGGAGCTTGACATAATGCAAGTATGGAATGAAATAGGGCTGAGTAACAGTTTTTTTATTCATACTCTCTCAGAAATAAAAGTACACATGCTGTCACTGGGGTTGTACATTTTAAATGTACAAATTAATACCTCAAAAGGTCCGTATTAATACCTCAAGGGTACATATTAGTATCTAAAAAGTATGTAAAATTTTAAGGTATTAATATATACTTTTGAGGTACCAATATGAACCCTTCAAGTACAAATGTGTACCTTTTGAAAAGGTACCACCCCAGTGACAGCTCATGTACCTTTATTTCTTAGAGTATAGGTGAACGCTTCCTTTAAGATCAGGCACTGTTTGCCCTCCTGTCTTCAGATGTAGACTGGAGGACGCTAGAGCAACATTGAGTGTGTGTGTTTAAAGCAATCTGTCTGTACTATTTGTGTTTATGATTTGTGTGTATACACACTTGGCTCCGACTGGCCCCTTTAGAGGACTCCACCAATCAGAGATTGGGAGCGAGTGCAAATGTCACAGAGAAATTAAATAAATAAGCAAAGGACAAAGATATCAATAATCCACTACCTCTAATGTGAACACTACAGTAACCATGAAAAAGCACTGGGGTTACTATTAAAGTTTTAAACCAATAAAGAAAGGAAAACAACGGAACAGAAGGAAATTCCACACGGATAATACCATGCATGCGGATGACAGCTCGTGCATTAGTGTGAGAGGACAGGAGCCAATAAGAGTAAAAGAAAGCAAGAGTGCAGAGGGAAGGAAAACATGCAACTGGCATGAGGAGGAGACTCTAAATGGAAGCGGGAAAAAAAGAGATGAGAGTGGAGTGGAGGCCAGTTTTACATTGTTTAGTGACTCTTTTTATTCAGGGTTGCAGACGGGGTTGGTTCATGCTTGTTGTGGGGGGTCAAGGACGAGGAGATGCCATTGGCTGGCTGATTTCGGAGAGGTCAGGCAGGGGGGCGGGACTGGTGTACAGATTGGCTGGTCAAAGGGAAGGTTGTTTTCTGATTGGGTATTGGTGGGGGGCGCTACCGTTGATCAGGCTGCAATTGAGAGGTGCGTTTAACCCGTTTATAACCTTGCATTCGTTAGTAGATCTGATTTCAGTCAGAATCACCCTTTAAATTGCAGACAAGACAGGCAATCAGTAACTTTCACCAGAGAGGCAGAAGGAAGAGCAGGGAGCCCATGAGACACGCCACACAAGGGGGATCCTAAAGGAGCGCTAAACACAGGGAAAGACCAGACCCACACAGCACAGCTAAACACACACAGACTACAGCGAGGGTCCAGAGAGACAGAGAGAGAGAGAGAGAGGTTGAGGAGGAGGAGAAAGAAAGAAGGAGGGAGACAGGGATGGGTGGGAGCACTCCTCTTCTGGTCCCCGCGGCCGTTTGCTGTTGCTTCGAGTGGAGGCTGGAAAGGAAGAGTTGATTGAGTTTGACAGGAGTGAGTTTGGCTCCGGGCTCTAAGCTGCCAGAGAGAGACCAATCCAGTGTACGGCAATCAGCAGGTACAACAAACACACACTTTTGTGCTTACATGCTCCTGTGGCCAATGGAAAAGCGTGTGTAGGTATGTCAGGACACAGATATATAAAATAAAGCTGTATAACAGTTCCATATTTAAATCCAATCATTTAAATAATGTAAACATTTAAAGTGAGAGTTCACCCGAAAATCAATCAATGTATAAAATGTACACGCACCATCGTGGTGTTCCAGACCTGATTGACTGACTCTCATGAGAAAGCTAAGAGATGTTTTTCCCTACAATAAAAGTCAATGGGGTTCAAACAGCAGGGGATCCCACTGACTTTTATTGTGTTCAAATATTCTTTTCAGGTGGTAGCACTTTAATTTGATGGTTCTCTTTACTGTAAGTCAACTACCCCGCCATTAGCATATTACTAGGGTGTATCTGCTAACACTTTATTTTGATGGTCTTCCATTAAATTAGTAATTTTGCATGTTTATATATATATATAAACAACTGCTTCTATTCATTAACAGATCATTTTAACATGAGTTTTTATTCTGAGGTGAACTGTTCCTTTAAAGGTATACCTTTTCTCTTAATCAAAACCATTTGCCCAACACTACTTAACGTGGTAGAGGAACAAAACAACACTTAAAGACAAAAGACGGAGCAGGACAACTCATTTTGAAATCACATGATCATTCACTCGTTCACTTTCCTTCAGCTTAGTCCCTTTATTCATCAGCGGAATGAACCGGCAACTTATCCACCATATGCTTTACACAGCTGATGCCCTTCAAGCTGCAACCCACTAGTGGGAAACATCCAACCCACTCATACTCTTCGGCCAATTTAGTTTATTAGATTCACTTATAATGCATGTCTTTGGACTGTGGGGGAAATCTGAGCACCCGGAGGAAACCCCCACATCAACACTGGGAAAACATGCAAACTCCACACAGAAATGCCAACTGACCCAGCCATGGCTCGAACCAGGGTCCTTCTTGCTCTGAGGCGACATCATGACCATAATAGTACTTATTTCATCTTGCTAACTTTCCTGTTATTAAACAATTCAGCTTGATGATGGAAAAATCAACCATGCATGAATATAAATCATACCGTGTGCACCTTTAAATACACTTCTGACAACATCATCGCCCCTTAAAACATCTTAAAACATGTAACATGATGTATAATTGTGTTTCCTGTGAGGTTCAGATTACTGATGACCCCTTTAGAGGCCCAATTGAGCCAACTAAACCCAACTACAAAATCTCTATCCCACATTACAACGTTTTAGTCCCGACTGTCTGGAAAGTTGACCTTGAGTAATGATACACACTGATCTGAATGTTATCCTGGGGGCGTATGTGCTATCGTAACAGGAGGAAACCAATGACGCAGTGGTCGTTTTGGAGAAAGTTCACTGAAGAGACAAGCCATGAGAGCCAAATGACATTAAAAAGATGCACTGCGTGGCTTTCTCTAACTCATGTTGGCACGATGAGTTGTAAAAGCCGGTCAAACATCACAGAGGCCATGAGGTTCATCCTAAGAAAACAAACATAAAACCAAACTTACCTGAAGTGGGTCATTTGTCTTCCCGAAAAAATCAAAAGAGCTGAGAAGGAAAAGCTTTACTCTTCATTTCTGAAGTATTGCCCCTGGATGCAGCCGTACCCGCATGGCGTATAAAGTTTTCCCTTTCGGCAAACATGGCAGAACTCCACGGGCCGACCGGTTGGCTTTTCCACCATTATCAGGATGATGAATGTGTTTTGCACACGGAGAGTTCAGCAATGAAATTTCCATCATCAAGCACATCTTCCCAAATCAACACGAGTACACACATCTCTCTCTCACCCAACCGGCCCTTCTTTTTTTTTCTGGCTTATGCACATCAGAAGTCTCATTTTCTGCTCTAATAGTCGCTCAGGGCCGAGTATGTGTGTGAGAGAATGAGAGCATGAAAGCCAGAAGAGAAGATGAATGACCAAATTAGCCACGTCGCTCCCTGAGTGTCACAACTAATGGGCTTTTCCATCATTGAATTAGCCACTAACTGCTAAAGCAAGCACTGGAGATCACCGCCATCCCTGAACCACAAGGAATTGGTGCTTCTATAGATTGTGCATGGGCAAGGATTTGACATTTTGAAACATGAGGCCAATCTCAATGCTTTTCTCTTGTTGACATTGTCAAATAACATAGTTGAATGTATGCAAATGCAAGTGACATTAGAGAGGAGTTTTTGGTCATTTGTAGTTAATTTTTAATTTCATATATTAAAGGAAATTGGTCAGTAAACTACATAAAAAGCAAAAATTGGTAGATTTAACAACAACAACAAAATCTGTCAGATAATGACAAGTTAAGCATAAGTTAAATATATAAACAAATAAAACATATAATAAACTACTACTACTACTACTAATAATAATAATAATAATAATAACAATAATGATAACAATAATGATAATAATAATAATAATAATAATAATTGTAATAAGAATAATAATGAGTGTAATATTAATAACAATAATAATGATGACAATAATAAAAATGATAATAATTATAATCATGATAGTAATTATAATAATAATATTAATTACAATAATATTAAAATGATAATAATAATAATAATAATAATAATAATAATGATAATAATATTAAAATGATAATAATAATAATAATAATAATAATAATAATAATAATAATAATGATAATAGTAATAATAAAAATAATGATTGTAATTTTATTAACAATAATAATAATAATGACAATAATAATGATTATAATAATAATAATTAAATACTTAAATATTTAAATGTATAAACAAATAAAAAAAATTAATATAATAAACTACTACTATTAGTCCTACTACTACTACTAATTATTATTATTACTGGGAGTAGTAGTAGTAATAGTAGTAGTGTGTTATGTTAATTTATTTATTTGTTTATTTTGTTTATAAATTAATATATTCAATATTTATGTAATACTAATAATTATTATGAATATTGTATAAATATTAAGTATATTATTTTATAAATAAATGTATAAATAAACATATATTAAACTACTACAACTACTACTAATAATAATAACAGATATTATTAGGCGATGCAGTGGGTAGCTCGTTGCCTCACAGCAAGAAGGCCGCTGGTTCGAGCCTCGGATGGGTAAGTTGGTGTTTCTGTGTGGAGTTTGCATGTTCTCCTCATGTTGGCAAGAGTTTCCTCCGAGTGCTCCGGTTTCCCCCACAGCCCAAAGTTATGCGCTTTAGGTAAATTGAAAAATCTAAATTGGTCGTAGTGTATGTGTGTGAATGAGTGTGTATGGATGTTTCCCGGTGATAGGTTGCAGCTGAAAGGGTATCTGCTGCGTAAAACATGCTCTGAATAAGTTGGCGGTACATTCCGCTGTGACGACCCCAAATAAATAAAGGGACTAAGCCATAAAAAAGGGAATGAGTTATTATTTTTATTACTATTACAAAAATATTAGATATAGATTATAAAAAATAAAACTTAAACTACTAAAAATACTACTATACTACCACTACTACTACTACTACTACAAATAATAATAATCATTATAACGGGCAATATGTTCAATATATCATGTATTTCATATCATTATGAAAGCACATCATGAATGAATTTGTTTATATTCAAACATAAAGCATTAGAAGAACCACACAGAACAATCACAACAGAGTCATTTGTGTGCGTTTATACTGCTTTTCTGTGACGTTTTGTATCTCAACAGTCTCAAATTCTTTTGCTGCATGCAAGACAGAAAACCATACGATTTTGTATAATATGCAGGTTAACAAATGATGACAGAATTCTCAGTTTTGGTCAAACTACCTTAAAATTTGTACTCATAACAGGATAATCCTTCAGCTGACATGCCATTGTTTATAAATCCACAACGCGCAAGGAAACAGTTTATTCCTGCATGCCAAATACAGACATGAGGTGTTCATTTATTTGACGCAACATTAATCTTTAAGTAACCATTCACCATGAATATGACAAGCTTCCATGAAGAGCTTCGCTAGAAATGCGTGTCTGTGTATAAGAGGCAGTAACTTACCAATGCAGGTCTTGCTGTCTGAATGCAGGGCATATTTCTGATGGCATCCACAAATGGGCCCCACGTCAGTGTCGTCGCACGTGTGTTGGCAACCACCATTTCCATAGTTACATGTCACTGGCAACACACAAGAACTGTGAGGAGGGCTACAAGCACATGTAGGCCGCCATTCACATAATTAAGGCACACACACACAATATATATATATATATATATATATATATATATATATATATATATATATATATATATATATATATATATATATATATATTGTATACTTTACAGCCATTCAAGTTGAGATACATCCAATATATTTTGGTTATGTAGTTCATTTGGACAAAGGGATGGTATATCTTGCACATCCACAACCCCTAAAAGCTGTGGCGTTTCGTAAAATGCAATGCAAATCTAGAGTCTGTGATTAGTTATTTGTCTTTAAGTCTTATTTAACTGAGAAAAAAAATACACCGATAGTGATTTTCCTGTATATTAACAGTATGATACTGGAAGCACAGTTGCCAATTGGTTACAGTTAAATGGATTACAGTTAGGGTAGCGCAATAGATTGCATCATTATCACCAACAACAAGATTATTGTGGGTTTATCAGACTGAGGCTGCATTTAAACTGCACTGTACGTGTAAGCAGGAAAAAAATCACATGGATTCTGATTTACACAAATCAGATTCAGGCCTATTTCATATATGAAAATTTATCCTTTATGAATCAGATCTGTGCCCTCGTATCTGCAGTGTAAGTAGGTAGATCGGATTTTCAACTGTCAATGAGTCGCGTGTCATTAAAAACCTTCAAGAGTTCACACTTAGATAATGCTTGACTATTTTAGCAGGTTTGGCATGCTGTCCGGGGAGAGAACCCTGAGCTCGGAGATAGATAAGCCCAAGGCTCCTGCCTGGTCAATAAGCATTAGGAGGGATACGAGATCAGGTAGTTCTCTATAACAAGAATAGACAGCTAACTAGTTTGTACGTAGAAGGTGCTTGTGACCAACTTTTGTTGCCTGTTTTTTGAGTGTGGGAGGGAACCGGAGTACCCTAGGAAAACCCACGTGAACACAAGGAGAACATGCAAACTCCACACAGAGATTGTCGGCTGGCTCAGCTAGTGTTTGAACCAACAACCCCCTTGCCGTGGGGCAACAGTGCTAGCCCCGTGTAGCCCGAACTTAGAATTGAGGAGGGAGAAAAGAAGGATGGGTTGGATTGGGAGGATATGTCCAAGGAGCTTCGTTTTTTTGTTTTTTTTTGCAGTTTTTGTTTTTCGCGAATCCACAGAAGCTTTTACAGTATTATACTGCATTATACAATGCTGCAAAATATGAGTGTAATTGTAATAACTACTAATAACTATATTATGATCTTGCAATTCAGTTATATACCAAAGAAATTAGTAGATCTTCTGCCTAACTTGATTGTTTTTTGTTAATATAAATGAATTTTGATTTTGAGGGCTGCAATACACTCAAAAGAAGTTCCAACAGAGAGAAAGGTTATTTAATATCCGAAATTAAGGAATTTTAAAAGCCACAATAAGCTGGTGAATTGGTGATACGTGAGGGTTTTATGTTTGGCTACAAAAGCAGCATATTTTGGAAATAAATCTGGATCATGGCTGATTATTTTCTGCCAAAAGTCGTGAGACAACTGTCCAAAATATCAAAAGTCAAAATAATTGTTGTCAATTAATTAGAGAATTAACAAATCACATATCATTGATTGCACTTTTTTTTTTTAGAATTGGGGTTGAAAAATATCCTGTCATGCTTGGGCAAACTGTGGCTCTTAGGACTTTGGTCCATGATTTTCCCACTTGTATTAAAAATAGAAGAATGACGAATCGTAGATGAAAGTTCTCCAGATGTCCAGACCATGAATATGACAAGAGTCAGAAAGTTCTCCAGATGTCCAGGCCAGAGCCACAGCACTATAACTAATGCATCTTTGACAGATCGGTGGCCGAGGTGGTTTGTTTAAGGAGAGATCAGTATTAGAGGACAGACTAAAATCAATCTGAAAACCTGTTGTTTGGCTTTGATGCCACCAGCTGTTTTTCTTTGCCATGTATATCGAGAAGCCTCTTGTGGGCGAAAAGAAAATCCCACTTGAAACGACTGTCAGCCCGGATGAGATCAATACATGACATGATGACTTTATAATTTGTAGCTACAATTATTCCAAACATAAAAAGACCATTTTTAAAAGCACAACAAGCTTTTTCCTTTTTTATAAAGAGTTTTACACCTAAAGAGATGAATGGCACTTGTTTAAAAGTAAGAGGCTTATAAAAAGACTAAATATCAGACACTTTTTTTATTGGTAAATAAAATGGAATAGTCCATAAATGTGTCATGAATAACCAAATATATAGATTATTAAGTTTGCATAGCACTTCATTAACACTGAGAGGTGAAATCAGGCGGATCCAAAAATAACATTACACATTTACACCATGCTAGGTTCCACACAATCGATTAGTATTGAAATAACATGGGAATGAATAAAGTAAATTATTACTTTTTACAAATTTTGATTAAACATAAAACAATTAAAGGCTGGTTTATACTTCTCAGCATGACCCACTGCAAACTCCTTGTGTAGTCATGCATTTATACTTCTGCGTGCTGTTTGTATAGCTCTGCAATAACACTATCAAAGCGCTAGCTAGCAGTAGGTTTTTATGTTCCTCTGTATTGAATTTCTTTGCAGGTTTTTTTTATTTTTACTGAACGCTACCTTGATGTAGAAGTAGTTAAATATGCAAAATATGAGTGTAATTGTAATAACTACTAATAACTATATTATGATCTTGCAATTCAGTTATATACCAAAGAAATTAGTAGATCTTCTGCCTAACTTGATTGTTTTTTGTTAATATAAATGAATTTTGATTTTGAGGGCTGCAATACACTCAAAGGAAGTTCCAACAGAGAGAAAGGTTATTTAATATCCGAAATTAAGGAATTTTAAAAGTTTAAAAGAAGTAGTTAAAACTCCCTCATTTAGAGACGGGAACCATTGGACGTGCAGCAACTTCATAAGGTAAACACAAAACAAAAGTTTCCATCTAGAGCTCCTTCTCGGGACTCCACACTTGTAAACAATCACTCCATCATTCGTCACTGCTACCAAGCTGACCAATCATAGAGTTTCCACTATGCGTTGTTGCGAAACGTAGTTAAATTTTTTGAGAGGTGCGCGTCAGCCACGGGGTAAAGTCTACATTGGATGCATGCCAGGCTGGAAGTGTGATATGCACATCAATATAGCAGCATTTATTATGACACTGTTTAACAATAGTTCATATTTTTACAGTACTGTGACGGTTGGGTTTAGGGTCGAGGTGGGAGTAGCATACCTGTCAACCCTCCCATTTTTCCCAGGATTCTCCCGTATTTTACAGTTCTACCCCGTTATTATCCCGTAAAGGTATTTTCCCGTATTTTCAGTCTTTCTGTGAAGGGTGGCAATAAACATTAAAGAGCCAATCCTCGCTATTCGCAAGCCATACCACCGAACCACCAGAGGCTGCCCTTGCTCTTAAATGTGAGTCTGTTCTGTGCTTTTGTTTTACACGAAACACCATACACGTGTGCTTGACGCAGAAGTATGAATCAGCCTTAAGTCGTCACAAAAAAAAAAAAAAACCTCAAGAATTGTCTTGTTTCAGTTAATTTAAATAAGCAGTTTGAACAAGCAGCAAATGTCATTCATGGTAAAAAAAAAAATGCAGAGATCAACAAAATTCAAGTTGTCTCAACACAAATCGATTAAGTTAACTTAATAATTTTTTAAAGGAATTTAAGTTGATTAAACATAAAACAATTAAGTTTTCCCAAAAACACACAAAAGAATTGTGTTGTTTCAACTTATTTTAGTAGTTGAGTAAGAATGTTTGTATTATCCAAAAAGGTTTTTACTGAATGTTAATCATACATGATGATGTACTGATCAGATTTAATTTTTTTTAATTATATATGTATATATGTATATATATATATATATATATATATATATATATATATATATATATATATATATATATATATTTATATATATATATATATATAATTTAAATTACAAAATATTATCAATAATCATCTCTGTAAAAACCTTTTACTTTATTATATCCAAAAATAATGCAACAAGAATTTTCAATCTGACATTATTCAATGTTCAGCATTTTTGTGCAAGAAATTTGAGTCACATATAATTAAATAATTCCTATTATTCAATAATACCTTTAAATCAACATATGAAAACATTTGAGAAAACTAATAATAAAAAAGCTTGCAATTCCTTAATGTAATCAGTCAAGGAAAGTACAGAGCTGACTATTTGCCCGACTATTTTGACCCCATTCCCCTGCAGTGCCCTGCCTTAACAACATGTTTAAGAACAGAAAAATATTCGTAAGTAGAGTTTATTGACTTTAATACATACATTTGCAGTCGCGCTGATTTTCGGCCAGCTCAAACCCTGGCCGGCACTCACACGCCACTCCGCCTTTGGTAATTTCTCTGCAGATATGGGCACAACCGTGGTCCTTATTCATACAGTTCATCCCATCTGCCGAAAGAAAGACAGAGCGCTGAGTTACAGTCGTGTAATCGTCCCATTACAAACACTCCTCTGACAGGCTCCTGGAGATGAGCGTGTGATTTTTATGAGTGGTGTAAATTAGTTTAATGTTTCTGCCACAGGAGCTTTTTTTTCGCACACAGAACAACACTGACACCGGCTGACCTGTGGAAGCCAACACAAAGACTCTCTCCACGGACAACACGCTCGGCAAACATCTACAGGCCTTTTTTTTCTTTATTCATTTCTCCCCAGTTTCTCCTGAGATTGCAAAATCTCTCCTCTTGCGTTTCACCCACAGGAATAATTCACTCCCAGTGAAAATTCAGTCATCATTTCCTCAGCTCTTTATCAATCCAAACTCGTCTGACTTACTTTCTTCCAGAGCTGATTAAAATGCAGAACGTACATGTAATTCTTGCCTCTATATACCAAGTCGTTTACACTTTTAAAAGTAATATATTACAATCTTGAGTCCCTTTTCTATAAAAGTAACTAAACTGTGTTACTTAAACTGTCAGACTTTGCTGCAATTGTACAGGTATTAACTGCAAAAGCGCCCAGTGAAATACCACATACATTTTTTACCTTTCACTACTGTAATATGCACTGCATTGTGGTCATTCTCAAACTTTTACAGTAACTTACTGGTAGTGTTATCTACCAGTCAGAAATTAGCCGGTTTGTTGATTGTTGTGATACAAAAAAGCTAAAAATAAATACTAAAAAAAAAAACAGAAGAGATGGTATTTGACCCAAAGTGTGTAGGTGACCATCATTAAGTGGTTGTACACGATCATCGCATTTACATTGACAGTTCTTTTATATGGAATACACACCTGGAGTTTGTTTGCTCTCGTTTACACCAGAGATTGTATTTTCACGGAGGTTACGTCTTTTTGGGGTTAATAAAAAGCTTATGATGTTTTATAAAGCTGTTCTTGAAAGCATTGTCAGATATGGTATCACAGTATGATTTGGCAACCTATCTGTACAGTGTAACTAGAAGTTAATGCATCTTTTAAAGACAGGATGGAAAATTGTTGGGCACGATTAATTTTTTAATCCTCAAGTTTTATATGAGAATTGTGTCTTTAATCAGGTAAATTTTTTTCATTTTTTGCTTCCACATTATGAACTGCTTCCCTCAGGTAAAAGATATAGGGCCCTATCATATGCCCGGCGCAATGAGGCGCAAGGTGCGACGCAAATGTTGTTTGCTAGTTTCAGCTTGGCGCAAGAGTCGTTTTGCACCACGCTGTTTAAATAGCAAATGCATTTGCGCTCATATGTGCCCACTTGTCAGGTTTTAGACCATATGGGGCATAGCATGTGTATTTGAATATAACTCAGTTTTTTTTCCACTACCGTTATTATTGTTCATTTATTCATTTGCTGGTAATTAGAACTGAATTTACAAATAGTTTTAAAACAAATCTTTGCGCTTAACAACCAAATTTAATTATGTATAGGCTAATAGATGTCTGCAAGTTCAACACGTTTCCCTATCTACGAGAGTGGAAGTGAAAGTAAAGAATGAGGAGGCTCATCTCTTATTCTCGTGCTGCAGATGCTCTGTTTAACTGTTTTCTCTCTAATGAAGCGTTCAGTTTCTCCACTTACAAAGTTGAAAATGTAAATGTAAATTACATTTAAATGTAAATAGCAAATGCACTTATGGCGCGACACAACTGACTCTTACAGGGAATGGGAGATGAGACTCTGATTGGTTTATTCTCAAAACACACCTATAACTCATTAAGAAAATAAGCTCAACCCTTTTAGACCATGCGCCCCGGCTCAAAGTGGATTTTTCCGTCCTTAAAATAGAAGTTACACATATATCGAGAGAGGTTTTGATCCACTTCAAATGTTATAAATAACAGTCACAACATTTAAAGTGGATCAAAACATTTCATTAAAGCTGTCCTAAAACTACTAAACACCCATTTTTGTCTTATTGGACAATTAAAAAAAAAAACTCTTTTGATCCATTTCACATGTTGAGTATTTTGTATATAAACTTTTACTGATAAAACACTGAATAAGCATTCCACTGTAAAAAAAATAAATAAATAAATAATAATATATATATATATATATATATATATATATATATATATATATATATATATATATATATATATATATATATATATATACATATAACATGAAACAATTAAGTTAACTTTTTAGTTTTTACAAGTTTAGGTGGATTGAACATAACAAATTAAGATGTCCCCTAAAAATATCAAGAATTGTGCAATTTCAGCTCATTTTAAATAAGTAGCTTGAACAAAGTCTAGAACAATTTTCAATTTAAAAATGACTGATTATAATTGAGTGCTCCGGTTTCCCCCACAGTCTAAAGACATGCACTTATAGTTGAATTGAATAAACTAAATTGGTCGTAGTGTATGTATGTGAATGCAACAGTGCATTGGTGGTTTCCTGTACTGGGTTGTGGCTGGTAGGACATCCACTGCATAACAGCATATGCTAGATAAGTTGGCGGTTCATTCCACTGTGGCGACCAAAAAGCCGAAAAGAAAATGAATGAATGAATAATTCCAATTGGCTCTTTCCTTTCCCTCTGATCTCACAAGCAGAATATGATACAGTTATTTAACAGCATCTTTTTACCATCCAAACTGAAACCTCCAAGTTTCCTAAACAAAACGATAACATAAAAGGGCAGAATAAAGAACAAGGAAAGACAGAGAGGAACTGTAGGGCTCCTCTAATGGACATCCTCCTCATCTTCAGGCCAAACAATGACAGAAGAATGTGTGTGTACACAAAAGCAAGTCTCCAGGGAAACATGGCGGCTCTTGCATCTCTGCCGCCACTTCACGAGTGCCAAGTGCTCTCAGGATGGAGCCTAAAGTGGCCTGCTTTTCTGCCGGCGTCTCGGAGGACACCTTGATGTGCCTAATTAACGTGGATTCTGGAGAGCTCTTCAAACCTTTAAACCACAAAAAAAGACCTGCCGCGTTTCTCACCCAACAGCATTTTAACCCTTGTGCGACTATTTAGAAAAGTTACACATGGGTCTACAGTGGTTGTCTGTGACTATAAAAGTATGCAACGTGTTTTAATATGGGTATCCGCTGTGTAAATCATATGCCAAAGTTGGCGGTTCATTCATCACCCACTGATAAATCAGGGTTGTACATATAATGTATGTACATATAATATAGGAAAACGGCCAATATATGTAATATTATATATGTCATATATATTAAAAACCTGTATCAAAACCTATATTGAAACGTATATGTTTATATAGGTTCTTTCTGTGTGAGCTCCCACTTATTTGCAACAGTTAAATTCAATAACATGCCAATTGCATGTGATAATAATTTCAAGTGTTCACACATACATACGTTTTTTGCATTTTTTTTTTGTTGTTCTTAGTTATTGTCTTGATAATAGAAATTATGAGCTAGGCATCATGTATGACAGTTGCCAAAGTTAGATATGAGCTATATAGGAGACATTTCTTGTGTGTACATATACATAGGGATTAAATGTGGATATAAAGCAATACTGGAGACCTGTATATGGCCTGATTATGCACATACTGTATATGCACCTCAATTTTGCCTATATGTGGCATATATACACATATAAAGAGCATATATATTATTATATTTGTGCATATATAATGCATATAGGTTTCATACAGTGCATAGTATTGATAGCGCTTCACTTTTTTCACATATTTTAATGTTACAGCCTTATTCCAAAATGGTTTAAATTAATTTCTTTCCTCAAAATTCTACATTAAATACCCCATAATGACAATGTGAAAAAGAGTTTTTGAAATTGTTGCAAATTTATTAAAAATAAAAAACCTGAAAAATCACGTCTCTAAATTTAATCAAAGCTCTAAATTGGCACATTCTGTTTCCACTGATCATACTTAAATTCTTTCAACAGCTTAATTGGAGTTCACCTGTGGTCAGTTCAGTTGATTGGACCTGATTTGAAAAGGCATACACCTGTCTATATAAGGGCCCAGGGTTGACAGTGCATGTCAAAGCACAAACCAAGCATGAAGACAAAGGAATTGTTTGTAGACCTCCGAGGCATGATTGTCTTAAGGCTAAAGGCTGGGAAAGGTTACAGAAAAATTTCTGCTGCTCTGAAAGTTCCAATGAGCACAATGGCCTCCATCATCCATAAGTGGAAGATGTTTGGAACCTTCTTTTCTTCTTTTCGTTTGGAGCTGGCCAGCCATCTAAGCTGAGTGATCAGGGGAGAAGGACTTTAGTCAGGGAGGTGATCAATAACCCCATGGTCACTCTGTCTGAGCTTTAGTGTTCTACTGTGGAAAGAGGTGAACCTTACAGACGGACAACCATCTGTGCAGCAATCCACCAGTCAGGCCTGTATGGTAGAGTGGCCAGACGGAAGCCACTCCCCACCTGGAATTTGCCAAAAGGCATCTGAAGGACTCTCAGAGCATAAGAAACAAAATTCTCTTTTCTAAAATTGAAATTAAAGTTGAACTCTTTGGCGTGAATGCCAGGCACTACATTTGGAGAAAACCAGGTGAAGTATGGTGGTGGCAGAATCATGCTGTGGGGATATTTTTCAGCAGGATATTCTCTCTGTTCCCTAGTCAGGACAGAGGGAACAGAGACATCCTGAATGAAAACCTGCTACAGAGTGCTCCAGCAGGACAATGACCCAAAGCACAGCGCCAAAATATCAATCGAGTGGCTTAGCAACAACTCGGTGAATGACCATAAGTGGCCCAACCAGAGCCCAGACCTAAATCTTATTAAAGATCTCTGGAGAGATCTGAAAATGGCTGTACACTGTCAATTCGCATCCAAGCTGATAGAGCTTGAAAGGTACTGTAAAGAGGAATGGGCAACAATTCCCGTATACAAATGTGCAAAGCTTGTGGCATCATATCCAAGAAGACTTGAGGCTGTAATTGCTGCCAAAGGTGCATCCACAAAATATTGAGCAAAAGC